TGGTTCACTGATAAAGTATATGTTTGTCATTCATATAGTATTGTTACACTCTATATAGTATTTCCGGGCCAAGGCATCCATATGATCGCATTTTAAGACACAACTCTTCAGTTTAAGACTATTAAGAATGAATGGAGACAGTGTGGGAGTTGATCAATATCGATTATGGTAACAATTGAGGAAAATATTAGTTTTATACTTGAGCATTATAGACTTGTATGAATATATTGTATAGTATATGAGTATCATGTATGAAATTCAACATATTTATGGGATCTTGTATTCCAAACGCAACAATAATGCTCACCTATGGTACGCTTTGTTCATCAAGTAAGTACAATGAATGCACATGTGAAGTACAAGTGATTCGTGACTATAGTACGCTTTGTTCACTGATAAAGTATATGTTTGCCATTCATATAGTATTGTTACACTCTATATATTATTGTTGGGCCAATGCATCCATATGATCGCATTTTAAGACACAACTCTTCAGTTTAAGACTATTAAGAATGAATAGGAACAATGTGGGAGTCGATCAACATCGATTATGGTAAGTTTTTCGTGAATACACATGTGAAGTACGCTTTGTTCATCAAGTAAGTACAAGTCTAGTGTTGACAAAGTATCTTCGAATAGACTAGAAAGTATTTGTTGCTCATTTTTATGGTACGCTTATATTCTTTATACAAACTAATTAATCGCAAAATAAAGTACCATGTGTTCAAAAGGTAAGTACATTTCATCGAAACATATAGTACAATGTATACAATGGAAAAGTACGAGTAGAGCTAATCAATAGTATTATTAGCTCTACAACAAAAGGACAGATTGTTTATGGCACAAAAAACACATTCATCTATTTGAAAAGCGATCGGTGAGCACCTGCAGCCTATTGATAGCTTACTGCAATCTTCTTTTACATCAATTCCTGCAATTACATACACATAAAACTACAATTATAACAAATACAACGTACTATAAAGTTCAACTACTAGTACTTCTAGTAATTTCGTTCAATACCATCCAAATGCACTAGCAATACCATTGTTGCATATGACACATACTACACTACAATCAAACATTATACTATTCGAATGCACTAGCAATATCACTCAACAGCACTAGCAATACTATTGTGGCATATGACTTATACTACAGAACCACCAAACATTATACTTCAAGTACCCTGTGTCAATACCATCTAAATGCACTATTAATACCATTTCTGCGCATGACACATACTATAGAACCAGTACGAAATATACAATAAGCCTCTTTCCCATATCATAAGTATATACCCAAGAGAAACTATTACAAAATCATGAA